AATATTATATCAGTTGCGAAAGCAAAGGATGCTGAGAACACTTTATGTAATCTAGAAGCACAAGAACAAAAATTTCTAAACCCTTATGGATTTCGTGATACACGTGAACAAGTTTTATTAACAACGGAAGTTGAAGCAGAAGATGAAATTGATGATCCACAGTTCTCACGTAAAAATGTGGCAACTGGATTTTTTGCTAATATTATGTCAATCTTCAGTAAATTGGCAATTTGGAAGCATAGTAATTGTTGTAGACGTCGTTCAATAGCCAAAACCAATGGTAATGGAAATGAAAGTATTGCTACACGGAAAAGTTTGAATGCCAGTTCGGACTTTGAACAGTTCTCCGCTACTCCTGGCGGCAGTAGCGTCTTTTCAACTGCCAAAGAAAAAGGGATAAAACGGCTGTCGCAAATACGGCGTCGACGCAGTTCGTATTACTTTTCTGGTAAATATATTTTTTATATTTGAAAGTAATTTTTATTATTGAAGTTAACATACAAGTGAAGTAAACACTTGAGCTACAATAAAATACATAAAACAAATCATTTTAATTCGTGTTGAATTTTCACATAAATTCATTGATAAATATGTTTTATGGCAGACTTTATTTTATTTTTCTCATATATATTTTTTATATTTTTCTTAACACTGCTTAACACATTATAAGTAACAAAACTTAATTTTGAAAATTAAATAATTTTAAACTGTATTCACACAAAAGTTTAATTTGTAATTTTAGCTGTCAAAAATATTCGTTTTGCATTAAAAGCAACAACTATTGACAGTTAAAATTACAAACATGGCAGCTAAAATTACAAACAAATCTCTCGTGTGAATCCAGTGTTACTCGTGCTGAAATTCAATAACAGTTCATTAATAACTGCTTAGTACTTCTTAGCCAACCTCGGACGCTAGCATCCTTTGAGTTTTGCTGCCAAATTCTTATATTATGGTTGCCACAATTTATTTTTGGCATCAATCATATAAACAAGTTATTAATGCCATTAAGAATATATGATTTACTGTTATTGATGTTGTAATAGATGTATGTATATATATGCATTAATGCATGTAAGTAAATACCACAGCTAAAAATAAAAAATATTATTTTTTAAATCGATTTTACGAATAAAATAATTGAAAAATGCAAAATTTTATTAAGATCGAATCAATTTAGCAGAATTTTATTGTTACGAATACAAAAAACAACCTTATCTCACTTTTTAAAATATCCTTTAAAAGCAAAGATGAAGCTTAAAATAGGTTAAATACGATTTTTCGCTACTACGTTCCTATGGCCAGACTCTCGCCTTTATAAATGCTTCTTGACCATTCTTGACCAAGCTTGACCATTCTTGTATTAATTATTGCAAGATTCTTCTACCGATTATTACGAGGATTTGTGAATTCAAAGCAGCTTTTTTACCTAATTGATTAGGATTCGTTCCTATGCTCACATGATTAAATTGAACCCTTAAGTATTTTAATTATTATTAGATTTATATAAGGTAGTACGAGTATCAACTTTATAACCACTGATTAAAGTGAGAGAAAAGTCATCTGCGCTTAGAAAGTCAAAAATCTTGGCATCACAATTCATACCCAATATTCTGATATTTGGTAGTTTCCAAATATCATTCAGCGAGGTGTCTGGAGAGCATATGTGAATAGACTAAGTTCTTCAATTGTAATTGTAATTTATAGAACATGTCATAATAATAATAATTCTGATCTTTCAATATTGGTAATCTTTTAATAATCATTTTAATTTTTTAAAAGTTTTTTAAGATCCAAGTTCTTGCTTATGCCTAAATATTTCAGTTAATTTTACAAATGGAATATCACGGATTTTTTTATACTGATGTTTACAATGATTTTCTTTATATTGATACATATCTATTTTTGCCGCTACTTTAATTCAACTCCTAATTCTTTTTTCAAAAAAATGTTCCAGTTTCTCAAATAGGCAAATATTTACACTTGAGTACTTTCGACTATCCTTAAAATTTTGAAATCAACATTGCTTTGAAAATATCTTTTCAGCTTACTAATTTATTTCTTTAATATACTAATAATAATTTATTGGTGTACTTTTCAATGATAGTTTAATACTTTTGATCTTCATCGATCTAATAAAACAATTTAATTATTCTTGTATTTATAATTTCATTATAGTTTTCTCTTTTATTTCTTACTTCGCCAAAGTAAATTTTTTAAGAACAAAATCGAAGAGATAGGCATAGTTTCTAATGTAAATAATTAAAAAATGTTGTTAAAGAGTCAATTTTTCTTGATTAACTTGAAATTATTACAAAGGTTATTTTTTTGTGCATATTTCGTAATTTTTTCTCGAATCACCCGAAATTGCACGACTCAGCTATGATCCTGTTGAAATATAATGGGTCGTATACTCTCTATGTATTGGTAACTCTACATGATACGACTAAGATGAA